AAAAAAAATCTAGTATATGTTAATGTATGGATTTATGATGGATATTTTACTACTTTTGTGAAATCCTTACTATTTATGTGAAATTGAATTGTGCATGTATATATGTATTGTATGATTTTTGACAAATTCCACATCCGGTAGGTCATCTGACTAACTCATGGATCTATGGAATGCTATGTATGTATGTATGTATCAGCAACTGCAAGCAAGTTGGTATCACTGAATATCTCAGTTAAGTATCTTGGACTAACCTTCAGAATATGGGGACGATGTATTTTAGTGTCCTGTTGCACTGATTTATATTCATAATGTGTATGTATTAACAGTCTTAAAGTGCATACAATCCCATCTACCACTTCTACATGTTTCGGCAGTATGCTGCCATCTTCAGGTGTATTGATCCGTTAACCATTTCACTGTTTGCCTCTATATGTCCATTTACAAATAACATTAAATTTGTATATGTCCTTATATAATAATAAAGTTTATGTATTTAAAACTTGTTATGTCATATTTTTAAAATTTGTGTGTATTATTAATCATCCACATGGGGTCGTTCTTCTTATGTTTCTAATGTTGTGTGTATATTGTGTCTTATGATGAGTTCTACTCTTGTGGCTGCATGCGTTGTATCATTGGATGTGTCATCCAACGATACACCTGAAGATGGCAGCATACTACCGAAACATGTAGTGTAGAAGTGGTAGATGGGATTGTATGCATTTGATGACTGTTAATATATACACATTATGAATATGAATCAGTGCAACAGGACGTTAAAATACAACATATTTATTCCATTATGTCAGTGTTTTTGTTAGGGTTTAGTATGGTATACAAATGTACCAATTAATTACTGCAATTATTACAATTACAGTTCAATTTTCATTTATTTAATTATTCTTTTTGGTATGTTGCAGAAAAATTCAGCAATTAAACATTCTAATTATTTATATACTTGAGAGCAATAACGTCATATGTTCCAGTCACTACAGTCTTTGGTGGTTGCTTCCTGCATACAGACAAAACAGGACTGATCATAGTTATGAATCACTAGCATTATTGGCAATTTCGTTCTGATATTCTTGTATACATTTCATATAACGTGATGGTGGTATTTCTATAATTCTTAATTAAGGGCATGTGACCTACTCTATGTTACTCGGTATATCTACGTCTTTTTATGACTGTTGCCAAGACGAGGAAATGCCACTCATAAACAAGCAAATTAAAGGTCCATGAAAAAAACAAACCACAAATGTGTATACTATTTTCAAAAATAAATAGTCGCCACTAATTTCGTTACATCGAAATTAATACTGTCCTGACAGTATAATCTAAAGCAATACATAATTTTTTAACTTCAAGAACCTTAACCTAAAAATATTAACAACTGCAAAAATTACCCTCTCAGAAAACATTTCTTCTCCCTTGTCATCGTCCATATTTATCATGTGCCAGTAAATTATTCGTAATACAGAGCAATAGTTTCGTTATTACGTCTACAACTAAGCCTGGAAATATATGTAACAATACTGATCACACACCATTAAACAGATAACATGAACGGATTTTTACAGTGCTTACGTGCTGGACAAATATCCCTCACACTTCCCAGTGAAATACTCTACTATTTCTTGCACCTCTTCACGATTTCGCTTTATGATTTCAGTAGTCACAGTGGAAACGGTGCAAACCACTGGAGAAGCTTACCTTACATTAGGTCGCATTAAGTTCTCTGTAGTTCGATCTCTACACTTTGGTATAATTTATTAAGAAGTTTAGTCATCAGCTGTTGGGGGAAATATATCGCCTTGGTCGGAGCGAGTCAGCTATAGCGGGAGAATTCGATGTACAATCCGAACAAGATAAAGGTGATAAAGGTGAAGTTATCCTTGTGCGTAGTTAATTGAGCACCACGCCATGAAGACGTGTGAGAAGAGTGGAGGAATAGCTTCACCATTCTTGATCTTCGCACTAAATAGAGATATGTGTTCGGCTTCACACCTGGGCCGCTTGCCGGAGGCCTATTCTTGCCATTAAGTGGAGGATTTTTTTTGAGACCCATAGAACTGAAAGGAGGAAATATAAAACACATTGTATCAGCAGCGTGTTTGCTTCATAATTTTCTAAGTCTCAAAAACTGTGATGAAAAGTACAGGGAAGAACTGCTACGAGTGGAGCCATTGGAAGGAGAAATGTTCCCTATCCAGCCTTTACGTCTCCCAAGGGCGGCAAATGTTAGCTACGCCATTAGAGAGCGGTTTGTTGCGTACTTCAACTAGATGACTGCTCCTGGAATTCGTGTTAGTGAACGGAACTGGTGCATAGCCTAAACTAAGAATGCCCACAGTTACTGTATACTTAACCCTATATAAATATATACAAATATTTCTACTTGCTGTCTCTGTTCATTGTAACAGCCAATTCCTTCCACTTTCTATCCTTAGCACGTGAATCCTTGCACATCGGATGACGAGTATCGTACAATAAAGCATTTTCTTTGACGAACTCTATTATTTGCTCCATTTGGCTACCCATGTCGTTTCACGTACGTATAGATACTGACTGAGTGTGAGTCATGGCCAGCTGGTTATCGGGTGTCAAAGATTCCCGAGTTCCCGAGTGTCGCATCTGTGTGCGCGGCCTACTCGGTAAACAGCCGCTTTCGTCCCGAATCGTATCGCGTCTGTGTGTGGGAGTCTTTAGTTTTAGAGAAATGCACTGTCCCCAACTTTCAATGTCGAACAATAAGTGTAGGCAAAGAGTAGGCGACAGCTCTGACTGTATCTACGCAAATATTTTCACGTGCTGGTTTTCAGTTTGCTGCTTGCTTACTTGTGGATCCTGTGGATGGAGCCACCAATACTTTCTTTCGAAAATTTTCGTGACTTTCTAATACGGAACACAGCTCCTGTCTGGCGACTTGTCCTATATCATGTACAATGATCCATGGATATGATATGAAATAAATAAATGAATGAAGTAGTTCGATATGCAACAATCGAATTCGTCATTTGCTCGTATTCGATTGTGCCCACGATTACGCGTTTAGTAATCCGAGTACACTATGTACTGTGACGCGTAATGTGAGTATCAGCGTGAAATCAGTCACGGATTCGTGTGCAAAGTGTTTAATTCTGGTCGGTGAAGTGGGGTGGTAGGGGACCGCACATGCAATTGTATGACTGATGCAGGCAGTATGGTCAGTATGCCGAAAGTTCAGTTTTTGGGTATGTGACTGCAGTGTCGTCACGTGTGTGCGGTGGTTATAGTTCGTATGTAAATGTGACATTTATAAACCCTCTGTAGAGAGAGGAAGAGTTTTCTGCTGCTAGAGAATACAGCAGTTTTGTCCGGAAATTTTATAGCAACGAGAGATCGTGCTTCTATATGCCTCATATTGATATCTCTTTATCTTTAAGATATTAACCTTCAGTTATTTCTTCAAATGAAGATACGCAACTTTCTCATACTGTTAATGGTGGTTAATACCCATGGTACATTGTCACAGGGTGACAAAAGGAGAGAGAAACCACCAAAAGAAATAAAAATTAAAAGGGGACCTGTAGAAGAAAATGTAATTGACAGGGAGTTAGTTGTGGAAGACCCATTGCCTGAAGATATCATTTTGGAACATCAGACATATGAGGCAAAGGTAGATGTACATTTTTCTGGAAAAGTTTTAGGTTATGTTACACCTTGGAATAATCATGGGTATGATGTGGCTAAGGTATTTGGAAGAAAGTTCAGTTTTATTTCACCTGTATGGTTGCAAGTACGGAAGGAGGCACCGAACACATATAGCTTAACTGGCACTCATGATATTGACCTTGGCTGGATTGAAGCAGTAAGAAATAACAGTGGTCACACTGTAAGTGTAGTACCTCGTGTGTTGTTCGATGGTTGGAATGTTAAAGACTTGAATACATTGTCCTTTAATAATGATGAGCAGGAACATTTAATTAAAACTTTGTTGAATTCTGCTAAAAAATATAACTTTGATGGGTTTGTACTTGAATTATGGAGTCAGGCAGTTGGTAGAATGAACAAGATGTACCTGGTTCAGATGGTCCAGCAGATGGCCCACAAATTTAAAAGTGCTAACATTTTACTAATACTTGTTATTCCACCCGCACATAGTAATGATTTAGAAGCATTTGATACTGAAGATTTTCAGCAGTTGGCAGGTGATGTTGATGCATTTTCACTCATGACTTATGACTTTTCAAGCCCACAAAGACCAGGTCCTAACAGCCCACTAATGTGGGTTCACAGTTGTGTGGAGAGGCTTGTTCATCGTTCAGATGATTCCCGGCGATCGAAAATACTTCTTGGCCTTAATTTCTATGGAAATGATTACACCCCAATGGGTGGTGGTCCCATTGTGAATCATCAGTATATATCTTTGCTGAAACAGTTCCGCGGGCGTTTGCAGTATGATCAGAATTCTGGAGAGCACTATTTTGAGCTCAAGTTAAAGACAGGACGACACTTGGTATTTTATCCAACCTTGTATTCTATACAGAAGCGCATTGAATTGGCAGAAGAACTAGGTACAGGACTGGCTATCTGGGAACTGGGACAAGGTCTAGATTATTTCTATGATTTGTTTTAGTAGGAGCTAAAAATAATTGTCTTTGGATGAAGTTAAACAAAATTGATTGCACTATGTACTGGTATATTAAAATGATGTTTAATTATTTTAGCTATTATTACATTTTGTGTATGTAATGGTTAGTGTTATACATATTCAGGAATTAGAATTAGAATCTTAACTTTCTCTAGTACCATAACAGTGCTTGTGGTGGGAAGGAAGTAGTGGGATGGTTGTAGAAAGTCCGCAGGACTTTTTTTAAGGGTTCATAATACCCAAAATGGTCATAGGTAAAATAAAATCATCTATGCAAAGACATAGCACCTACTTCCTCGTATACAATTAATATTGGCTGTGTTACCTTGGAAACAAAGCGGCCTCCGTAGTCTAGAGGTAACGTTCCCACCTCATGACTCGTGGTACATGGGTTCAAACCCGGTGGAGGTCGTAGAATTTTTAAGGGCAGAAAAATTCAGGGAACAAGTCCTCCGGGAGGGACTTTAAGCCGTGGGTCCCGTGTCGTAGCTTTACGGCATGTAAAAGAACCTCATATCTCCAAAGGAGGTCACTGAGCCAAATTCAAGGACATTTCCCGCCCAACAGTAGTCTCTAACGCCTCTGATAGATGGGGGAAGCATTACAGATACCGCTAAGCCAGTTGAGGCCCAACTTGCTGGCTCGGTCGGGACTGATGGTATGCACCAATATCGGTAGGTATAGAGACTGGTAGAATATCATAGAGGGAAGCACAATGGACCAATACTGGTCTAAGTGCATGGGGAAACCCACCCTCTCCAATAACTAACTAACTACCTTGGAAACAAAATCAGTTCTTGCTTCATAGACCATTGTTGGTTACTGAATACAGAACAGCACTCAGAATCAGTCCAGCCAGTAAAGCCGGTTTTGACAAAACTAACGTTTCATTTTTGGGCCCCTGTTGTGTGTACTGTAACTTTATGAAGACACTGCCTCTATACAATGGGTGCCAGGGGATTTTTCCTGTGGGTAAAGTTGCAGGGGCATAATCATAACCACTCACCTCCATCTAGTTCCGAGGTTAAGAATGGTGGAGCTATACCTCCACTTCTCTGTGGTTCTCCATGACACGGTGCATAATTAAACTCCAGGGATAACTTCATGTTTACCACCTGCGCAGTTCTATTTAGCAACATGATGCCCACAAATTTCTGAAATTTAATCAAAACCGTTTGAAAAAAAAAAAAAGTAAAGCTGTCCCTGTACCAGGCCGTGAAGGCCCATAGGGTTGTGAGACATTGAGGGTCCCACACTATCTAGACCATCGGCTCAAAGATGGCGGTAACGTCAGCCTTACGCGCCGGCCGTGCTTTACTCCCCAGGAAAATTATTTAATTAATTTCTGGTACTCATTTTTGTTAGAGGCTGAGTAAACCTAAGGGCCTGGTGCAGCTGGAAGAGATTGTCAAATTCTTTTTGACCAGCATTCCATGGTGACTGATGCTTTTAATCTGGCACAAATTGCAGTACCTCTACTCTCACCATTACCTTCTGCTGAATTATATAGGAGGCAGTGATGAGATGCACAAGAGGAACATCACTAGATGAATCACACTGAAAGTATATTGAAGACCTGACCATTAAGCAGCATGTGTGTATTCACACTTCACAACAGTTTTCAGTTACATGTTTTTCTAAATGAACAAAATAAAAATAAAATATGAACACAATAAGTAAGTGAATAATTATTTTTGGATAGCAGACTTTAAAGAAATTCTGGATTAATTCTGAGTTGACCTAAGGCAAGAGTGATGATTCTGGAATTTCGAAAAACAAATGGAATGGTGTACTTCCACTTCTCTCCTCACCAAAAGCACTGACCATAACTGTCACTGATTTGTAAGTAAAGTGATATTTAATAAGTAAAAGTTGTACACAATAGAAGTATTTCTTTGTATATCATTGAAAATGTATGGCTGTGCAACAGCTATTTGTGTTTTTAAGTTCATGTTTTTGGAAATGATCTTCTAGTTTTTTAAGAAGGAGTATATTTTCATCATATGATAGATAGACGCAATGTGAAAATTTGTTGCAATATAAATGTCACATATTTTATATGAAATAAAATGCAATACTGTATTTCATTCTAATTTGTTAGGGTGAATGAGACTCATCTACACTATATGATAACAGATTACAATAATTCGGTGGTAACAAACCAGTGAAAAGTAAAAAGTGAAGTTTGAGATACAGCGAAGCAATATTGATTAACAAGGTGTTTGAAAAATCTAATAACATCACACCAAATGTGATATAAAGTATTTAGGGAGCCTGCAAATTTTCATGTTGAAATTGCAGATGTCCTTGGCTTTCTTGATGTACGAAGGGTGTTCCATATATAATGCCTCCTATTTTTTTGTGTTAATATGTAACATCTGAGCTGGATGTTGGTGGTGTTGTAGTAAAGGTTGAACCTTCCTGCCAATTACCGTTAGTTTGGTTGTCATGTGAGACATAGCGACAGCAGAGCAGTCTACCAAAATGGCGTCTGACATAGAAGTGCATATGAAAGAGAGATGTGTTATTGAATTTCTCACTGCCGAACAAATTGCACCCATTGACATCCATCGACACTTGCTAAAGGTGTATGGAGATGATACAGTGGATGTCAGCACAGTGAGGCGGTGGGTAGTGCGTTTCAACAGTGGCGAAAGTGAAGTGCACAACAAGCCACACCCTGGGCATTCCTGCTCAGCTGCCACTCTTCACAATGAACAGCGCCTCATGGAATGGCAACATTCAGATTCTCCAAGAAAATAGAAGTTCAAGGCACAGCCATCGGCAGGGAAAGTGATATGCACGGTCTTTTGGGATATGCGGGGTGTGATTTTGTTGGATTTCCTGGAGCCTGGTGAAACTTTCAATTCTGAACGCTATAAGATGATGCTGACTAAGCTGAAAGCCTGCATTTCCCGAGTCAGGCCAGAGGAGCAGACAATCGTTTGCTTGCAACATGATAACACTACACCCCATACCAGTTTGGCGACCACTGCACACATTGCAAAGTTTGGCTGGACTGTCCTACCACATCCACCTTATAGCCCCGATTTAGCACCTTCAGACTTCCACCTCTTTGGGCCTATGAAAGATGGACTATGAGGGCAACATTTTCCAGACAACGATGCTGTCATTGCAGCAGTAAGAAAGTGGCTAGCCTCTGCTGGCACAGACTCTTACAGGCACAGCATACAGGCTCTTGTTCATTGCTGGCAAACGTGCATAACAAATGGTAGTGATTATGTGGAAAAATAACTGAATAACTCTAAGTAACTGAAATATTGCTCTATTTAACTGTGTTATTATGCTTTCTGTATCTGTTGTAGTTTTCATTAAAAAAAAATAGGGGGCATTATATATGGAATGCTCCTCGTACAAAGGCAAGAGTTGGTGTTTTCAGGAACAACACAGCTGTACTTGCGTTACCTGCTCATATCAAAATGTGAGCAGAACTGTCTTGACTAGTACACTGCCAGTGATACATGACATTTTGTATCTTCCCTGTGCATGACCTACACTACTTGAAGTTTGGTATACAGTTTGAAATATGGTTGGCAAATTGTTCACCCTTCTACAGACCAATTTTTGGTTGTTCTTTTATTCGTATATTTTTGTTATGAATACCATCACAACTTATATATGTAAATCTTTTGTAGGAACATAGCTTATCTTAGGCTCAAGCATCTCCCTTTGCAGGGCAAACCAGTTTTCAAATGCAGCAATTATATTTTCACATGGACTTGTGCAGTCAGAGACAAGAACATCCATGCCAGCAAAAGTGGTTTTTGGATTACTGATATAAGAAAATATGTCACTAAAAACATTGAGGATCAGTCATATGAGTTCTCATGTTCTTCAGTTTCTCAATTCAAATTTGTATTGAAAATACACTGAGTTGAACCTTCCTTGATAAAATATAGAGTATTGAATTGACACCAACTCACAAACAGATTAGTGTGGTGGCAGGGGTCAAGACTTGTGTTTTGGATGTGCTTGGTTCAACTTTCACTGGGACGCCTGTTAGTCTTTTTTTGTGTTGATCATAACTTTACCTCAACCCGATTCATAGCATCATCCAGATGGAAAGTGATATTCTTTCTCGTTACTTACTATTTAACCGATCCCTGTTTCATTTAAATCGGATTAAGATATGGGTGATGTGGCGGAAAGTGAAGGAAGTAGTGGCCAGTAGAGCATTATCTTTGAATGTTTTGAACTGTGGCTTACACAGTTTAATTGGAGAATACAATTCGGGCTTACAGATTCAGCCACTGAAAGGAATGCCATGATCTGAGAGCCAGTCGATCATAGCACTTTTATGAGATGAAGTTGGAGCCAGACTGAGTTGTCCATTATTGTCTACTACTATATACAGATAATATCAAATTTGATGGAAGGTCTGTAATAAACTTCGTTTTAAGCCATATTTCATAGGTATGAAAATTAATTTTGTGATGAAAATTAACTGTTGGTTTTTGACTATGCTATAGATGTTCATGTGGGATTTGTGATAGATTGGCATTATGGCAGTTTTCCCTGAGTACTTCGGTTTTTCTTCCCGATTATCATCATACTAAACTCTTCATTTCTGTCATTAACCGGCCAGGGCTTGCAGATTGGGTCACTTACGCCCTGAGTACCAAGGGCCCTTGTCTCGCCCTACCCTAAGAATAAGTAACCCTTAATTTTTGTATTAAATTGTATGTAATAGTGTTTCATATATTTTCACATGAGAAGTTCACTCTTAAGTATAGTATGATGCTTCACAAGGACCATTCTACCAGAAGACAATTGAGAGACTGGGTTTGTTCGTAAAGCTTTAAGTGAATTGAGTAATGCAATGACGTTATCGGGAATCGAACCCGCGACCTTGATCCTGAATTACTACACATTCTTTATCTAGACTTTTGTGTTGATAAAGGTTTTAAGTTGGGTAGTAATTGTAATTGCCGATCACAGTGGCCGCGCGGTCTAAGGGCTGGAACACACACAGCGACATCGGTCATACGACGTCCGTTCGGTTCATGTCGCATCAAGTAGTAGAATATGAAGTGTAGTCTTAGCTTTCATACGTGACGACATGCGACATCTACCGTACGTCAGTCGGAGAGCAAAGAAATGTATTTGGACGCTCTAGTGTGAAAAGGAGGTCGTACGGCAAAAAAATCGTACGACATTTTACCGTATCACCGATGTCGCTGTATGTGTTCCAGCCCTAAGGCATGAACTGTCTTTGCTTGCTGGAACGCTGGGATCGTGGGTTTGAATTCCACTCAAGGCATGGTTGCCTGTGTTCGTTTAGTTTGTGTTTGTGTTGTTTTTTGTGTATGTAGCGGCCTTGCGACGGGCTGATCCCCCGTTCAAGGAGTCTTACCGACTTTATAGGATTACATAAAGCGGCCAGGGCCC